AAGGAGCTATTCATCTCAATTAAGAATTCGTGTTCCTTTATTCTCTTATTACTATTATTATTATTATTATTATTATTATTATTATTATTATTATTATTATTATTATTATTATTATTATTATTATTATTATTATTATTTTTCACATCTAATTATTCTTATACTATTCTTATTTGGAAAAGTAAATCAAATCGACTATCAGTGTCTTGATATTTAAAATTAATTATTTTGACATTCAAATTTGTTTTTAAACAGTTTGGTTCCGCTGCCGGGATCTCTAACAATCATTTATTTTTTCCATTATATTCCCTTTATTTCTCTTTGGACATTTGAAATTACGAGTACAAGGATTAACGCACCTCTCTCTCTACACTCCTTCTCTCTCTACACGGCCGCTCTCTCTTCCGTTTCTAACGGTCACTGTACCAGGCCGGCGACCAACAACCGGCGACCACCCCAGCAGGTAAGCCCCCTCCCTCCCTCCCTCATCTCTCTCGCCTATCATCCCCCTATCTCTTCCCTCCTTCTCCTCTCCTCCCCACCCCAACCCTAACTGTAGCGGTCATCTCCGGCGACCACTGACCCGCCGTCGTCCCTATTTCCGGTGACCCTTTCTTGACCCCTTCGGCCCTTCTCCCTCTCTTTTCTCCCTCTTCTTCTTTTGTTACTTACAAGCCCTCCCCCCTCCTTTTTCTTTCTCCTTTATCCCTTCCCCTTTATCCCTTCTTCTTTCCCTTCTTCCCTTTCCTTTTGTTTACTTTGATTTAGTTAACAGATTAGTGAGCCTCACATAAAATTTTTATTTGAGATATCATCTAGTTCTATAAGTTCACCATTATTATAGTTAAAAAATTGTTAAGGATTATTGCAATATTGTAGTTCATCTTTTATTTAGTTAACAGATTAGTGAGCCTCACAAAGAATTTTCATTTGAGATATCATCTAGTTCTATAAGTTCACCATTATTATAGGGTTTCGCTTTTTCCCTTTTTTTTGCCACTGTTGGGCTTCACCACTGGAAGCGGTGATAGCCCCCCCCTTATTTTTGTCCCGCGGTGTTTTGTGTGTCTTACGGGTAAAATTTGGTGGTATTGGAGACAAGCGGAAAATGCACACACAAACATAGGAGAGCATCCAGGGCGAGTGTCAGCAAGGGACGGTAGGAAGTTGGACGCGAACGTGCCAGGTGCCGCAACATCGTCGAGTACACCAAGACAATTTTAGGTTCTATTCTCGAAAGTTGGTACTTCCCGCTCTTCTGTCCTCTTCTTGGTGTTAGCTAAACTGTAGTCATTTTAGTTTGCACTAGTTTAATCATACTACTAGCGTGCTTGTAGTTTCTACTTGTTTGCTTCTAGTTTGGTTCGTTGCATATCGTGTGATAGTTATTCTTCCTTAGCTTGTAGTAGGTATAATGGCTGTAGTTTGGGACGATAGAGTAAGGTTATGTCCTCGGGAGGGGTAGGGGGTAGGATGGGGGACAGAGGGTGACAGGAGGCAAGGGAGGTAAGGGGAACAAGGGAGCCTATAGGTTGAGAATTGGGTCATGGAACATAGGCACATTGATGGGTAAGTCTATAGAGTTGGCTAGGATCCTCCAGAAAAGGAAGGTAAAAATAGTGTGTCCAGGATACTAGGTGGGTAGGATCGAGGGCGAGGGATGTAGATGGGTATAAGTTGTGGTACCTTCGAGTCCTGAAGGATAAGAATGAAGTGGATATTTTAGTAGATAAGGATCTTAGAGAGTCTGTGGTAGAGGTTAAGCAGGTGAATGATAGATTAGTGACTATTAAGTTGGTGGTTGGTGATTGTACCCTAAATGTCGTTAGTCTTACGTGCCGCAAGCAGGCTTGGACGAGGAGGTTAAAAGGCGATTCTGGGAGGGGTTGGATGAGATAGTGCATAATATTCCGCCTGCCGAGAGGTTATTTATAGGAGGGGATTTCAATAGGCATATTGGGTCGTCTGTAGGTGGCTATAGTGAGGTGCATGACGGCTTCTGTTTTGGGGATCGAAACGGAGGAGGTACCTCGCTGCTGGATTTTGCTAAGGCATTTGAGCTAGTGAATGCGAACTCGAGTTTTTCGAAAGGGGAGAGCATTTGGTTACTTTCCAAAGTACGGTGGTGAAGATTTAGATTGACTATATCCTCCTCAGGAGATGTGATAGAGGGCTATGCAAGGATTGCAAGGTTATCCCAGGTAAGACCCTCGCGGTGCAACATAGGCTCTTGGTGATGGACATCGGTATTACGATAAGGAGGAAGAAGAGGTCTGTACGAGGATGTCCGAGGATCAAGTGGAGTGCCTTGACTAAGATAAAGCTCAAGAGTTAGAAAGGAGGTTATTGGTTATGGGAGCTTGGAGGAGTAGTGGAGACGCGAGCATTATATGGTCGACGATGGCGTATTGTATAAGAAAGGCAACGAGAGAGGTGTTAAGGGTCTCGTCGGGCTACTCTGGTGGTCACAAAGGGGACTGGTGGTGGAATGAAGTGGTCCAAGGTAAAGTGAAACCGAAGAAGGCGGCGTACCTAAAGCTAGTAGGGAGCACTAGCGAGGAGGAGGTGAGAGCGAACAATGAGACGTATAAAGTAGTTAGGAAGGAGGCGAGGCTGGCATTTTCGGAGGCTAAGACTGCGACTTTTGCTCATCTGTACGAGGAACTGGGGATCAAAGGTGGGGAGAAGAAGTTATTCCGGCTGTCCAAGGTGAGAGAGAGGAAGGCTCGGGATCTGGATCAAGTGAGTTACATCAAGGACGAGGACGGTAGAGTTTTGATAGGGGATGACCAGATTAAGAGGAGATTGCAGACCTACTTTTATAAACTTCTGAATGAAGAAGGGGATCAGGATATTGTGCTAGGTGAATTGGGGCATTCTGAGAGTCACCGTCACTTTAGGTATTATAGGCATCAAGGTTGGGGAGGTCGTGGAGGCTATGCATAAGATGAGTAGGGGCTGAGCTACTGGGCCAGACGAAATTCTGATAGAATTTTGGAGGTGCGTGGGTAAAGCAGGCTTGGAGTGGCTGACTGGGTTATTTAATGTTATTTTCAGGATGAAAAGGATGTCGGAGGAGTGGAGTGGAGTACGGTGGTGCTGTTATACAAGAACAAAGGTAATATCCAGAGTTGTAACAACTATAGGGTATCAAATTACTGAGTTATACAATGAAAATTTGGGAGAGGGTGGTAGAAGTGAGGGCGAGGAGGATGGTATCTATTTCAGACAACCAGTTCGGGTTCATGCCGAGGTGTTCTACCACGGAAGCTATCCACCTTATGAGGAGGTTGGTGGAACAGTTCAGGGATAGGAAGAACGATTTGCACATAATGTTTATTGATCTGGAGAAAGCGTATGACAAGGTTCCTAGAGAGGTTCAATGGAGGTGCCTGGAGGAAAAAGGTGTGCCAGTTGCTTACATTAGGGTGATTAAGGACATGTATGATAGAGTTAAGATTCGGGTTAGGATAGTGGGAAGTGACTCGAAGCATTTCCCGGTTGTTATCAGGTTACACCAAGGGTCTGCGCTCTGCCCATTCCTTTTTGCCCTGGTAATGGATGCACTGACACACCATATTCAAGGGGAGGTGACATGGTGTATGTTATTTGGTGATGACATAGTGCTGACTGATGAGACGCAAGGCGGTGTCAACGAGAGGCTGGAGGTTTGGAGGCAGACCCTTGAGTCTAAGGGTTTCAAGTTGAGCAGGACTAAGACGAAGTCATCGAGTGCAAGTTCAGCATCGAGCCAACGAAAGCTGGGTTGGACGTGAGGCTTGATTCACAAGTCATCCCCAAGAGGGGCAATTTCAAATGCCTTGGGACGGTTATACAGGAGGATGGGGAGATCGGCGAGGATGTCACACAGCGTATAGGGGTTGGGTGGATGAAGTGGAGGTTATCTTCTAGAGTACTATGTGATAAGAAAGTGCCATCGATTCTCAAAGGTAAATTATATAGAATGGTGGTTAGACAAGCCATGTTGTATGGGGCTGAGTGCTAGCCAGTTAAGAACTCACATATCCAGAAGATGAAAGTAGCTGAAATGAGGATGTTGAGGTGGATGTGCGGGCACACTAAGATGGATAAGATTAGGAATGAAGATATTCGGGAGAAGGTGGGCGTGGCCCCCATGGATGACAAGCTGCGAAAGCAAGGTTCAGATGGTTCGGGCACATTCAGAGGAGAAGCCCAGATGCACCGGTGAGGAGGTGTGAGCGGCTGGCTTTGGTGGGCACGAGGAGAGATAGAGGGCGGCCTAAGAAGTATTGGGAGAGGTGATCAGGCAGGACTTGGCGTGGCTTTAGATTACCGAGGACATGGCCCTAGACATGAAGTTGTGGAGGTCCAGCATTAATGTCACGACCCTAAAACCGACCCGGTCGTGATGGCGCCTATCATGAAACTAGGCAAGCCGACACAATTTCCAAATCAAACCATTATTCTATAAATGTCATTTTTAAGCCATAAATTAACAAGAAATCTCATAATATGAATCTAAATAACTAGTGCGGAAACATAACATAAGCCCGACATCGGGGTATCACTAGTCATGAGCATCTATTACCACTTTCTGACAACATAAGACCAACATGGCCGGGAAATCACTGAGTACAACTAAGGAAGAATGAGAAGGGAGAAAAGCAGGGCTGCGATCGCCAAGCAGCTACCTTACTAACTTCGATGAACCTGCCACCGAGCTCAGAATGCCTGAATTTGCACACAAGGTGCAGGGAGTAATGTGAGTACGCCAACTCAGTAAGTAATAAAAGTAAATAAAGTCTGAGCAGTAAGAAATCATGTAAAACACGTCATAGCACCACAGCGGGTACAATATGTTTCCAAAACCAGGATACAAATCAGATCATCTCATTAAACGCCAATTTCAGTGAAATCCTTTGAAAAATAACTTTCTAAAAGTTTCATTAGAGGTTCAATCTAGTTTATAATGAAAGTGATAAAAATCGTAATCGGACCCTTGGGCAAAAATAATTCATAAACATCCCTACCGACAAAAACCCTCAGTCATTCATTTACATCACATAACAGGAAAATCTCAATGGAAATAACAAAAACCAAATCAGTGATTTACTTCCATACATCTCGCAAAAATTCCAGTTTCAATGAAAGTTGCTCAAAACATTTGTTTAACATTTTCAATAGAGGCTCAGTATAAAAATGAGTGAAAAAAATAATTTCATAAAAATAAGCCCCTCCGGCAAAGCATCACTCGTATACATGTATATATATAGCCCCTCGGGCAAGCCTCTCAATCACTCATGACTCAACTTTCATCAGTCAGCGCTCACACTCAGCACTCACGCTCAATAGGTACCATATAATAACCGCTGTGGCGTGCAGCCCGATCCATATATCGCTGCAGCGTACAGCCCGATCCATATATATAGTCGACTACGCTCACTGGGGGTGTGCAGACTCTGGAGGGGCTCCTATAGCCCAAGCGCTATATCGCTGCGGCGTGCAGCCCGATCCAATATTGCTGCGGCATGCAATCCGATCCGTATATCTATATAATATCGATGCGGCGTGCAGCCCGATCCATAAATATATATAATATCGCTGCGGCGTGCAGCCCGATCCATAAATATATATATAATATCGCTGCGGCATGCAGCCCGATCCATAAATATATATATGTATAATCCTCACCACCAGGCCCTCGGCCTCTCTCAGTCATCAACCTCACAATCAGACCCTCGGTCCCTCTCAGTCGTCAGCCTCACAAGCCACCCGGGCTATCAGTAACACAGGGTGCTCGGCCCAAAAATATCGTTTATAGCATCAAAACTGAGTAAATAAGGCTGAGTTATGAAATCAGAAAAACATAGCATGACTGAGTGTAGATATTAAACCAAAACAGTGAGGAAAACAGTAGTAAAAATCCCTTAAGGGTCCCAAACAGCTGGCACAAGGCCCAATTATGGCATTCAGCCCAAAACATAGTAATATTTTTCAAAACACAATGATATCAAACAAATTTCAATCAAATACACGACTTAACAGTCGTACGGGATGGACCAAGTCACAATCCCCACAGTGCACGACCCCACGCTCGTCCTCTAGCGTGTGTGTCACCTCAAAGTAGCACAACGATGTGAAATCCGGGGTTTCATACCCTCATGACAACATTTTCAATCATTAGTTACCTCAAACCGAACGAGAATCTACACCGCGATGCCCTTGCCTCTCGACTCGGCCTCAATTCGCCTCAAATCTATCCAAAATCAGATTCATAACATCAATATACGCTAAGGGAACAAAGCCCACGCGAAAATAATCAAATTCCATAAAAGTCTCGAAATTGGTCCAACCCGACCCCCGGGCCCACGACTCGGAATCCGATAAAAATCACATCAATAAAATCCTTATCCTCCCACGAGTCTATTCATACCAAAAGCATCGAAGTCGGACCTCGAATGGTCCCTCAAATCCCCACTCAAAGCTCTCCAATATCAAGCCCTAATCCCTCAATTTTCTTCCTTAATTTCCACTAATACCATGATTAAACAATGGAATGGTCATAAACACAAGTAATGAAGCTTAAGTGGCTTACCCAACTGATAACCTTCGATTTCCCTTGAAGGATCACTGCCCTAGCTCATCTCCCGTCTTAAAAAATGGACAACTTAGCAAAAATTCGCGAAGGAAACCTTATATACTTTCTGACTCAGGGATTCGGCACCTGCGGTCCCTTTTCCGCTTCTGCGCTACCGCTTTTGCGGTCAAACTACCACTTCTACGGTTTTCACTTAAATCCTGGAACCGCACCTGCGCCTCACCTTCCGCACCTGCAGTCTCGCAGGTGCGCTCAAGCTTCCGCACCTAGGACCTCTGGTCCTCTAGCCCCAACGCTTCTGCGGCTTACCCAACGCTTCTGCGATCACGCACCTGCGGTCCCCAATCCGCAGGTGCGGTTATGACAGGGGCAACAACTTCAGCTGCTTATTTCCAAAGCCAAACTTCCCGAAAAATCTTCCGAATTCATCCCGAGGCCCCCCGAACCTCCACCAAAAGTACGAATAAGCCACATAACTCTATTTAAACTTATACCAACCTTCGGAACACTCAAAACAACTTCGAATCATCAAAACACCCTCGAATTCAAGCCTAAGGTTCCCAAAACTTCCAAATTTCACTTTTGATCAAAAAGTTTATCAAACCTTGCCCGAATGATCTGAAATTTTGCACAGACGCCACAAATGACAAAACGGACCTACTCCAATTTCCGGAATTCCATTCCGACCCCGATATCATAATTTCCACTGTCGATCGAAAACTCCAAATTTTCCAATTTCGCCAATTCGATCCTAAATCTACCACGGATCTCCAAATCACATTCCGGACGCGCTCCCAAGCCCAAAATCACTAAACGGAGCTAACCAAAACATAAAAATCCAAATCTGAGATCGAATACTAAAAATCCAAGACTGGGTCAAACTTTTCAAATTTAAAGCTTTGAATTGAGAATTGTTCTTCCAAAACTATTCCGATTATCCTGAAAACCTAAACCAATGATTTACATAAGTCATAATACATCATACGGGGCTAGTCATGCCCGAGAACTGGCTAGCGAAGTGCAAATGCTCAAAACGATCGGTCGGGTCGTTACATCCTCCCCCACGTAAACATACGTTCGTCCTCGAACGTGCCCAGAGTTGTCCCAAAAGCCAACAAATTGCTGTATAACCTTACCACGCAGATACATGGGGGTGATCCCACGTCACCCTATCTCATATAGGTCTGATAACGCAACATGACTGAAATTTCACAATCCAACCAAGTCCATGAACCTTGGAACCAAATTTCCAGTTCCATACTAATCTTTAATATCAGAATCTCACATCTATACACTGAATAAGTTCGAACCAGCTGTAACAACCATACCTGCAACCTCAGATACAATTACATGATATACCACATAACTCAAACACTCGTAACGATAACTTCTAATCACAGCAGTTGCCCAAAACAACCGAATATCGATAACAAACCTCTTATCAGATAAAGCCTCATTCCAACACTTCCGTATACTGCCAATGATGAATGAAACACGCAGAAAGTCATAACTATTCCTCAGACCAACCATTCATGAAGCTCCCCCTCCTTTGCCAAGGACTATAGTAATTTCTAAGCCGAATCCCGATATTATCCTTCCAACATGTTGAAACCGAATTCGATAGTATTCATTCTAGATCCCAATGACCTCATCTCATCCGACACGACCACTCTAGCGACATGACACATCGATACAATCTAAATCCACAACCCGTGCAACTCGTGCACCAATAAGCAACAGTCCAAATATACTCAAATCATGGAGAATAACTCAAATGAGAGAGCTGTATCGCAAGCTCGCCAGTACCATCACAACACGATGTTAAAAACCCATCACACACCGTGGAATCGGAACACACGAATCCAACCGAAGGATCATACCTCCACATAACTTCGCTGCAATGCGTGATCCTGTCCAAACACTAGCCCACATGAAACACCTCAAGTCACCATGTTCAAAATCATCAACCACGCG